CTCATCCAATCGAAACTAAACAAAGACATGTCGGTGTATGTGCTGGTGTATATACTCAAAGTCATGCTATTGCTTATGTTGCTGAAATATTTGATAAAGTTGGCAAATTGGATAATTTAAAGAAATTTATAAGTGATCATGGTATTAAGTTTTATGGATTAAGTGAGGATGTATTGAGTAAACATAAGGGGGAATCTACTTGGTTAGTTGAACGTGAAAATAAAGTGCCTGAAGTATTTGCAAATTCAGATGTTTCTGTTGTACCGTTTAAAGCTGGTGATGTATTAAAGTATGCCGTTGAATGGAGATAGGATACTTGTAGACATTTGTAAATAATTATCTATATTTATCGCAAAAAAAGTTTTCACAAATATCTTTGCAATGTAGCTCTCTCCAAAGTAATTTATCGATAAATTTGTTACAAACTTCGAGTCTTAATTAACGACAGCAACAAAATAAATATGAACACAACTGTTCTCGAACGGGGAATGCCCTGTGCATACCCGGGATTTGATTATTTCGATAAATACTACAATCCTTGTTAGTTCATAAACAGACCAGTAGCACAATGGGTATCGTAGCCGTGGGATCGTATGATCCCTATGTCCTAATTCGCAACCAAACTAGTATGGCGTTAGCTCGCCCGATAACACCATGCTCTCGAACAAAGGAGGAGTGCCCTATACATACTCAGTATTCGATTAGTTCGATAAATGCTACAAGCCTTGTTGTTTATTACACTTCATGAACATCCACAGTGGGTATCGTGACCGTGGGTAGTATAATTTCTAGCTCTTAATTTGCAACCGTACTATTATCGCATTATTTTCTCCGGATATTGGTGGAAAAGCCAAAACACGTTCTAGAAAGCAGAATAACCAAAAGTAACCGCATCGATTTCCCCATGTGTCTCATAATTACCCAAACAGGACAATAGTAAGGATATCGAACGGCTTTTATCCTTTATTATGTTAATTAATTAATTTAGAATTCGCTTAGAAATTCAGGTTCCACGTTGTAAAAACGTTGTTCGGCCCACGTTTTTCAACAATAGCGCAATTTGCAAAAAAACAAACGACCAAAGGCTCGAATAACCGATGTCATATTGGAACTTACAACTTGAATCACAATACATCGCTACCACCAGTGCCTCTTATAGACGAGCCTTTGCTCTTACGACGATATCTGTGATGATCGGGTAGATGAAGGGTTTAGTATTGGCATTTGAAAAAAAGCATGGGCGGATTTATAAACGAATATTTTTTTCCACTAGCCCTGTGGCTAGTAGAAAAAAAATTAAAAAATATATGACAGTGAAATACGAACGGCTTTGTGTGTCACAGAGCGCAATTAGCGTTAAATACAATTTTGGAAATTTTTCTATGAGTTCGTCCAACTTTTCTTTTTTGCATGTGAAATTTTTAAAACTATAATAATGAAATGCAACAATAAACCCATTCACTTTGAAATAAATTATTGACAATTAATGCATTAATGCATTACCGTACAACCGAAAGCCTATTAGTCTAGCTCAGCAATTTCCATAACAGGAATAATGTTTCAAGAAAATAAACTTGAACAAAGAATTTCTGGGTCAAATTCTCGTATATGCTCGAATAGTAGAGAATGTATAGATGACGTTATGTCAAAAAAATGATAAGATAAACATTTAATTACACAAAGACAATACCCAACGATTTAAAAAAATTGTATTCATTTTTGTGCCGCTTTGTAGGTTGGAACAACCTGAAAAAGAAAGGTTGGTATCCACTGAATAACTTAAAATTGACTTCTATTGGTGGATACTCAAGCCAGGAGATTAGCAATTACCTGGGACTCCCCCGTTGTCCAGACATTACGTCGTATAGCTTCAATTTTGAATTGGAGAAATTCATTAGAGTCAGATTTTTTCGTCTTGTACGACATGAGATGGACCCAAATTAGAATATCTTTGGTTACTATATGGTAAACGATAAGTTCTACTACCTCATAGTAGGGTCAAGTTTCTCAATGGACTATAGCCGTATCCCAAGGGATGACCCTTTTCATGTTTCGTTAAAATAAATTGAAATAAAATGATGTTGAAATGTAATAAACAATAAGCGGGAAACTTAAAAGAACAATAGAAATAATTTATATAAAAAAAAAAATTAAAATATTTAAAATTTTCTATAAACTTCTTTCAACAATTATTTTAATCTTACATATAAATACAGGCTAAATTTCTCTCTCCCTAAACTAATTTCTAAAATTTGTCGACTTTCCTAAAAAATCTTTTTCCTATTCCAATTTTACTGTAAGCTTAGCTAACATCATAAAACGATGGCTTCTAGAGATTTACCAAAGAATTTCAGTCAACTTTTTGGTTGGGTTGGACATGCTAAGAAAGAAATCACCATTCATAAAAAACAAGAACAATTAATAGAAGAAGATTTCCAAGAAGATGAAGATATTCCAAAAGTAGATAGAGTCAGAATGAAGAATTTATGGCCCGCTTTTGCTTCCGGGGCTGGTTTATTCTCAGATGGTTATGTTAATAATTCCATTAGTACTGTTGTCTTTTGTTTAAGTAAAATATACGCCGACGAATTCACTCAATCTAATGCAATTTCAAATATTGGTTCTATTGCGTTTGTGGGTACAGTTGTTGGACAATTAGGATTTGGGTATATTTCCGACAGAATTGCAAGAAAGGGAGGTATGATGACAGCTAATGTTATGTTGATTGTGTTTACCCTTTTATGTGCTGTTGCAACTTGGGGAACTTCTCCTTTTGGATTATTTGCTGCAATTACTACCTTTAGATTCTTTTTAGGTATTGCTATTGGGGCCGAATATCCAACTTCTTCAGTTATTGCTTCCGAATTTGCAAATATGTTACCTGCAGGTAAAAGAAATCGTTATTTCGCTTGGTTTACTAATACTATGATTGATTTAGGATTTGTTATTTCATCATTTGTCCCTCTCGTATTACTTTGGATTTTTGGCGAAAACCATTTAAGAGTTATTTGGAGATTAACTATTGGATTAGGGGTTATTCCACCTTCATCATTATTCTTTATTCGTTTAAGAATGAAAGATTCAACTTCGTATCAAAAATTACACATGAAGAAAGTTGGTTATAAAACATTCCCATGGTGGTTAATTGTTAAGTTCTATTGGTTTAGATTGTCTATCATTTCCATTATTTGGTTCATTTATGATTTTTCAGCCTATTCATTCGGGATCTATTCCAGTATAATTATTGATAAAATTATCCCAGATGCTCCATTATATCAAGTTTGGGGATGGGCAGTTGTTTTCAACTTATTTTATATGCCAGGTGCATTCCTTGGAGCAATGTTTTCCGATTATCTTGGTCCTCGTTTAACTTTGGCCTTGGGTGTTGGTTCACAAGGTATCATTGGTATAATCATGTCTGCCTGTTTGTCCCAATTAAGAGAACATGTCGCTGGATTTGTAGTTGTTTTCGGTATCTTTACTACTTTAGGTGAATTTGGTCCCGGTGATAATATTGGATTATTAGCTTCCAAGACATCTGCCACTCCAATCAGAGGTCAATACTATGGAATTGCTGCCGCTATCGGTAAGATTGGTGCTTTTGTTGGTACTTATGTTTTCCCAGTTATTATTCGTAAATATGTCAACAATCCAAATCCTGATTTACAATTGCAAGTCCCATTCTATATTAGTTCATGTTTATGTCTTTTCAGTGCTGCTTTGGCTCTTTTCTTTATTCCTCCAGTTGCTCAAGATGCTATTAATCGTGAAGATGCTGATTTTGTTGAATATTTATCAAAGAATGGGTTTGATGTTACTCAATTGGGTGAGCATGAAGAAATTTCTTCTTTGGATGATTCTATTGAAGTAGTTCATGATAAAGAAAAACACGATGCTATTGTTAGTGTTGAACAAAAAACGACTTAATTTTTAATATAATATAATATTTACGACATCTCTATCTTTCTATGTATTACTTAATCGATTTATAACATTTTAATAAAAATAATCATGAATAAGAAATTACTTTTGTGCAATAACTAGGTGCTTGTGCCGAGGACCTTATTTTGCAGCCATTTTGTAATTTTTTTGGAACCCTTTGCCAAGAATAATCGCAAAACCCAAATTCACTAAAATTAGAATAAAGTTCTCGGTCTAAATGACAGCTTCTCTGTAGCCAGGTTGCAAGTGAATTTTAAGTTTTTGATATATGCCACAGTGTCGCGTGGCCCCTTCCCTATACATGCAATATACTGTCTAGTCAGTTTACGCGTGTAACAATGTTGGTCAGCGAATATAAAACACATTAACAAGTCAAGGAAGGGTGAGATAAACATCCCTACGAGACTAGAAGGTGACGAAACGGTGAACGAAGGTACTTTAACAGATTTGGAGGGTAAGAAATCCCAAGGCGGGGTTAACTTACTATATTCGGCGTACTCAAGTAAGGACCGAATGTCTCCGAAAAAACTCCATTATTCACCAGATCGGCTCTTTTTTGTTGACTAAAAACAGTTTGTATGTAAGGTTGGATGTTTGATTTCTAACAAAACAAGCCAATCTGGTGAACATTAATCTTTTTTATGTCCAAAATGTCCAAAAGTTGACGGTTGGCGGATATTCACATAGACGCAATCATAACCCAACAAAGATCGGACTGTTCGTAAGTGTTGAATGCAAGCTAAAGTACCTCTTCAAAAGTTTTGCACGCCGCGTTAATTCAATTTTGTTTTTTATGTACATTGCTGCAAACTTTTATTGCAATTTTCGCAAATCTGTCGGTAACCATGAGAAAAAACAATGGAAGCTTTTACTTTACAAAGAGAATCCTATTAAAAGAAAAACAGTTTAATGTCATCCGTTTGTTGAGATAGGTGCTAATGCAAGACTTCTTACGTGAAGAAATAACAGCAGATATGAATGTAAATTACTAAGTGTTGGGAATATGAGCATTGTTTTATTACTGTTGGAA